GTGTTCTTAGACACTTGACAAGAGAAAGTACTTCTCTTGTTGTTCGAAGGAAGGGTTGTTTCCTTCGAAGGTTTGTTGAGGTTCGTGTGACTCGAACTCTCAAGTTGTACGGGTTTGTTAAGCACCGTTAAGCTTAACGAGATAGTAGTGTAGCTCGAGAGAGTCTCTCGGGAGGCTGGATTAGCCACAAGTTGTGGTGAACCAGGGTAAAATCGGTGTGCCTCTTACTCTTCTCTTTACTTCTCGTTTATTCATTTTTATTCCTGCGATTTTTGATCAAACGCTATTCACCCCCCCTCTAGCGTTGGTCTTCTATTCTAACACACAAACCAACACACGTCTTTCCCGCGCACTTTGTCCTCACTCGTGCACGCCCAAGGAAAACTTCCCAAGGGGTCACCTATCCTAAAATTGCTCCAGGTCAAGCACGCTTAACTTTGGAGTTTCTAGGTGATGAGCTCTTGAAAAGAAGATGCACCTTGTTGGTATGAGTAGTACTATCAATCCTTTTGAGCTCTTCCCATTCCCATCTTGATACGGGGTATTACACTTTTGGTTTGAGCAAACGCCAAGTGTTTTTGGCTTATAAAACATTTATGAAAATCATTTTAATGATGCATGAAAATGTTTTAATGGTTTTAAGCCTAACGAGCCAAGTCACGATGTTAATGTCGATCTTGATCACATTAAGACCGACTCAACCATTTCTACGTCTTCGTCTTCATTCTCGGTTATTGGTTCCACTTGTTCATTTTGCTATTATGTTATTCACCTTGTGTTTGTACAAAGTCTTTTCATATCCTCGGCGGTTTAGCATTTTTCAAAACCTGTCAAAAATGAACATCACTTTAGTTCATAGTCGTAAAGTGTGTTCCAACATAAGGTACCGTCCACGGTACCTCAGTACCCTCAAGACGGTACCAGGTATCGTCTGGTGTCAGGTTCTGCCAGAGCTGATTGGCCCATGGCGGTAGCTAGTTACCGTCCTGGCGGTAGCGCCTATCATCCAGGTGGCATCTTTGTACCATTTGGGCAGTATCAAAGTATTGTTTCTATGGGTTTTTTTTGTAAAGTGTCGTCTTCAACCTCGGTCCAAACTTCCAAAACACCATATATAAATATGCTCTAACATTCGTGATCATTTTCATACTATTAATTCGAAGTTTTAACAACAATTTGAAGGTTTATGATTCTTAGTTAATCAAAAGTGTATAACACAAAACTTAACCAAATATCCATTTGTGAATGTAAAAATGATGTATATGAACATCGTAATCACTAGATATATTTAGGGGCTTATCTCAAACTTAAATGAAGGCATTGAAAATTTCCAGCAAAACTTCCGACGAAGACTGACTATCTCCAGCAACATCAAGCTTTTCGGACAGCGCCCCTGCAATCTCCTCAGAACAAGGAACACACAGGAAGAAGAATGGAAAGAAATGGTGAAGAAATGGAGGGCATTGAAGCTCCTTATATAAGAGTGTATAGAGGAAGAAGCCAATCCATGTGTCACCTTAGCTATTCACGATCGACATAAGTGGAGTAGGTTCCAATTCAGTTTAATTTCACACACACACACTCACTCCCTCCGTCCCGGTGTATTTATCTAGTTTGACTTTTTTCAGTGAAACGGAATAAACTTTGAACTTAAATTAAATAAAACTTGTATTATATATTTGTATAAAAAATGTTTTTATTAATTTTTACTAATATGCAATACAAATTAAAAGTAATTGAAAATTAAACTTTTTCCAGTTTGACTCAAAAAAGTCAAACTGAACAAATAAAATAAGACGGAGGTAGCATATACATATATATACATTCATACATACATACAAACATACATACATACATATACATTTTTTTTTTTGAGCAGCATATCCATAACTCAAAACTTTATAACTAAAAAAAAACAAATTGTTGGTGCACTTAAAAAGATTAGAAGACAACAAGTCTGAAATTGAAAGGACAACCCACCCCTAAGATGTAAGGTTGGAGGACTTGTTAAGGATAACACCCTCGTACTTGACCTGGAACCACTTCATTGCATCTTCCTTAGTGACTCTGTGCTGGATCCCGACACGGGACTTGCACCTTCTTCGACGTGCAACGCGGAAACCAGGACGTTCCAAGACAACATAGAAATCCATACCATAAATACCAGTTGAGGGATCATACTTGATTCCAAGATCAATGTGCTCCTGAATACCAAATCCAAAGCAACCAGTATCACTGAAGTTCCTCCTTAGCAGCTCATATTCCTTCACTTTCAATCCACTCTCAAGGAGTTGCATTGCTTTATCGCCCCGGACAGTGACATAGCATGCAATCTTTTCATTACGTCTGATACCGAAGGACCTCACAGTGTACCTAGCCTTAGAGAAAACAGGGGTTTGGCCACTGAGTTGTTCCAGCACCTTTGCAGCTCTCGTGAGACGATCTCCACTTTCTCCGACGGAAATGTTCAGGACGAGCTTTTGGACTTTTATCTCCCGCATCGGGTTACTCAATTTCTTTTCTGCTGCTATCGTCGAACAATTGCTCGCGTCGTCTTCTCCGGTGCGGCGTCTGCGATCTCGTGGGGCGCGACACCTCTCTCCCTCCATCTACATACATACATATACATATACATATACATACATACATATATATATATATATATATATATATATATATATTATATTATATTAATGGAATTTTATTAGAAACAAAAGGAAAAAGTACAATGAGGAGGTGGCCAACCCCACAATCCAGCCAAGGAAAAAGAAATAAACACCAATTTTCAACAAGGAAACGAAAAAGATAAAGAAGATGAAAGCAAGGGAAAAATGCCTAAATCAAGGACAGTAATGCTACAAAGTACAAACCGCCAACTCCCAAAATCCTTCCCATCCAAAAAAATCGTGGCTCCCATTCTTAGATATTGCCCTAGTATATGCAGGCCCCCCATAATAGCAAACTGCATTCTATCCGACATATATACTTGGCATCAAGAATTCCCATAGCAGACAAAGCAAAGCAACAAAAACTCCAAAGCCTCCAACTCATGTATTTCCAGTTCTGCAGTATGTTAGGCCAAAGTAGGATATTCAACGGCTCCTAAAGACTCAAATCCCTCATAGTTACAGTAATTCCCTAGCAAAGTATAACCAGCCAATATACCTCTTCCATAAGGAACCTAACCACAAAATCATGAAATGCCAAGAGTTCCACTAAATAAGGAGCAACTGCCTGAAGTGTTATATCTAGAGAAACTCAGAAGCCAAAGAACATTGTTACTTTCATATTCAGTCCAAACTACAAAGACTAGTAGTCTAATTTAAAGAAGTCTAATTTGTTGGGGGATCACCAGCCCAACCCGGCCTGATCTGTAACATTGGAAAACCTTCCTTTTTCCAAGTATTCAAAGAGAACCAACTTAACCAAAACGAAATTAAGATGTTGTTTCCAGTAGAACTAACAGCCTAAATAGTAAAAGTCCTCATCCTCGTATTCCATATCAGTAACTTTGCTATATATATATATATATATATATATATATATATATATATATATATATATATATATATATATATATATATATATATATATATATATATATATATATATATATATATATATATATATACACACACTCTGTATATATATAGAATAAATACTAGAATAAGTAGGAAAAATTATCAAAAATAATCTCAACTTTAAGTAATCTTTAAAAATAATCTTACCTTTCACAGCGATGTAAAATAATCTCAACTTTACTAAAATTTCTAAGTACTGGCTCGTTGTTAAGTTGCTAACGGCGGATTAATGGAAACGGCATGTTTTGCGCCACAAAATGAATGTTGAGAATATTTTAGATAAATTTTCATTCTTTAATTTTTTTTTGAGATTTTCATTTAAAATGTTAAAATTACTTTCCACCTCCATTATTTCTCTTTTTTTAAACATTAAAATTAATGAAAAATAAATGAAATAAGAAAAATAAATAAAACCATGTAAAATTAATGGAATAATAAAATAATCAATCGAAACTAACCTGAAACTATCAAGAAATAAGACAAAACAATATAGAGAAGTGGATTTTAACATTTTACACACTATACAGAATATTAATGAAACACTTCTTATTTTTTTAGGAAATATTACCTCCGTCCCAGAGTATTTGTCCATCTTAATTTTTACACACCATCTAATAGACTTCTTTAATCCATTTTATCTTGTAATTTGTATATTAAAAAATTATAGAAATTATATGATAATAATCTATATGTTAAGACAAATTAAACAAGATCACACATGACTATATTTAGACTTACACATTGAGAAAATTTGATGAGTCAAAGTACTTACATGAACAGTTCCAAAAGTCAAAACTAGACAAATACTCTGAGACGTAGGGAGTATTTTCTAAAGTAATCCTAACTTTACTTGTTCTTTCAAAAAATAAGTAATACATTAAAACTCTGCATACTGCATAGAATGTTATAATCCACCATTCGTTATATTTTTTTGTCATTTCTTACCAACTTATGTTTAATTTCTATTGATTATCTTATTTATTTCATTTATTTTGTATGGTTTTAGTTATTTTTCTCATTTTCATTATTTTTATATCTATTTTTAAATTCTTTTAAGGTAAGGCTAATCTTTAAAAAAGCAAAAAAATGTAGAAAATCATTTTAAAAATTTAAATGAAAAATTTAAAAAAACATAATTTATCTAAAATAATCTCAACTTTCATTTTGTTGCGCAAAACAAACTATTTCTATTAAACCGCTAACAACTTAAAGGAGGCCTAAAATTCACAATTTTTAAGTAAAGTTGGGATTATGATACATGACAGTGAAAGATGTGATTATTTAAAAAAAACCGGATAATATTGTGATCATTCTGGATAATTTTTCCTAATAAATATGTAAAATAAATATTTTGTTATTCTGGAATTAGTATTCCTGTAGATATACGAGAAACACCATACAATTAGATGATGCAATATTAATAAAGAACGACTGTTCCCAATCAAGTTCACATTACTATAAATTGGGTGGAAATGTATTGAGAATCTTCAGAGTAATGTTCAATCCATTGCGCCAGAAAACTAATATCATCTCAATGTATAACATTCGTAATCCACAAACTTCGTAGCAAATAAAAAAGAGCAGGCTCTGGTGGGCGTGTACAAAGGACCTGTGAAATACAATGGAATTAAAATACCACCTGCCCTATGGACCAGCCTGTGGTAAATATACTACATATGTTAATTTATACAACACCAGTGGTTTCCAAGTGCAGATATTCAAGTTCAGGACAGAAAAAGAAAGGGTACACAAAAATTAAATAAATTTTAATGATGCATTTTATCAGTGGACAATTCATTTCAAATCTTCCTCCAACGTTTTCTTGCTAATGTTCTTTGTCATCTCCCAAGCTTTTCACTTAAGTGTGTTCTTACTCCACTAAACATTGCTGCGATTGAAACTTACCGTCTGCAAAAAGACTAATGAAATGCTTTTCAAGCCTTTTTGCTCCTATACCCGGTCTTAGAATGTCGGCATCTCCCCAGACAGCACATTTGTCAGCTTTAGTATCGCCCAGACACCATCCACCCGGTACTGGTTTCCCCGGACTGCGGTGGAGAGCTTGACTGTCAATCTTGTCGAGAATTGGATCATTTTCTTGAAATGGTGAAGCAAATGCTGCACCAGTCCGGATCATGCTCGCGAAATCACTGGAGTTGAGCGGGCCTGCCTCCATCCTAGAGTTTCGTGGCACGTACTGCAGGTTGTTGTTGACAATGGTTCTATTGAATGACCTTGAATTGCACAATATGGTGGGGAAGTAAATGGAATTTGAAGATGGTGCATTTGCCAAATACATTAACAGTGTCCTTGGAAGGTTTTCTGTGCCTAAGATGCAGTATTCAATGAACTTTCTGCTCAAAATGAATGATGAAGATCCTGTAGTCAGACACAACAACTCAACAATTGTTTCAAAAGCTAGTCTAGTATTCAAAACTCTGAATAAAATAGAACGTAGGGGAGAAAACAATTATATTCTTGATCTGATTAGACTTGCACAACAAGCCATATACAAAATATATACAAATGAGAGGAACCCAAGGCTAACAAAGTATTCCTCTAGAACTTGTTTTAGAAACATATTCTAGAATCATAGTTATTTTTTCACATGCTGTAGTTCATTGCGGGGCCTCTTGGTGTACATATTGGCTAACTCACATCTAACAAATTCTGGAACTAAATCCTGCCATGATTTTTTTTCCCATCGGAATGATAGTAGTATAGTAGTTCAATGTGTTTAACCATATCATGAAACACATGATTTGACGATATGGTAGAGCAGCTTGATAATTACAAATTTATGTAATCCAAGTAGATGGGTCATAAAATCATCTGTGTTGGATAAGAAACTTTTTAAGTCAAAATCATCTCTGAAGATTGAAGAATAATGTGATAACTTCTCAGAACATTTTCCATTATGTTTCCACTCAATGCATAACCATAATTGTCAACTTGTGATGGCATCACAAAGAAGATGCTTACGCTTCAAGGCAAATGGAGAACCCAGGGCATTAGAGAGATGTTCATGTGCACGATGTTCACCAAACTCCCTATCGCAGCTAGGGTCAACAAAGGTTCAATGAACCATCAAGTCATTGATGACCACCTTAATGACAATCGCATCCTGGGGAGTGGGGACTCTTCTGCTCTGGCATCCCTGCAGAGGTGAAAAAGATAGGCTCGCAACATACCTTCTTCTCTACTGGATGCTAGTACACCTTGGCTACCTGTAGTTTTCTGTGCCATTTTTTGCGCAAAGTGGTCGAGTCTCCCAATGTACCCTCCATTGATAGAGTTCACACGCATTGTGATGTCTCTTGTTGCGTCCATAGTTCAATGTGCCAACTCATGGTTGTCCCCAACTCATCATCACTATCCAAGCCCAAATGCTGCCTCCAATATTCTCGGGGTCAACCGCTTCAGCGATGCAACACCGCGAGTTTATGCCTGTCGTGCAAAACAAACAAAACTCACAGTGACCAAGGCTCACTAAAGGGCTTCAAAGGGGACGTTGCAACTCTATCTGCGCCCCGTATCCAATCGCACCCCATATGTTGGCACCTCCAGCAAGCCAAAAAACGACTCCAGCTGCATGCAAGAGGCTTGCATAAGGACACCAGCAAATTTTATCACCGATAGTGCACCAAGATGGAGTTCCAAAACTTGGATGGTGCAACCGACCCAATCATAGTTAGCTTAGACGTTGTGATAAGTTATGCGCTCAACAGAAGATTCCAGCCACGACAGGATCGGGACAACTTCGTCCCATCTCTTGGACGACACTCAGGTCTCATTTATTAAGATAATGGAGGACGAGGCGGCAGTTAGTTGGTCACTTTTAAGGAACTTTGCATTGAATGGATCGGCTCTCCACCTTTTATTTAGAGAACGTTCAGCTCGCCAGGGGATGTGGATCCCGTATGAGAACTAAAAATCCTGCAGACATGCACAATGGAAAACTATTTGCCTAGTATCAGAAGGCTTTGGCACAAACCACCTGAGTTTATCCACAGAACAAGCTAGCTTTGTTCATCAAGGGCCTCATGCCCTCATCTTGACCCTGCACATAGATGTCCAAATGGCCAACACTCGTATCCTGGGCTAAACCATGAAACTGGCCCATACACCAGGTAACAAGCTGCCCCGTGCATCAATGCTGGAAGCCCCCACAGTTTTATGTTGTGGGCCCAGCCCCAGCGGCAAACCTGAGGCATTGAGCAAACCCTCCACTAGAAGTTAATTTTTTTTCTTTATGATTTTTCTGCTTAATTGGATAGCAGCCACATGAATAACATCACACCTTAGGATAAATATGCTACATTAGTAGTTCATATACTCCCTTCATCCTGAATCTTCTTCCCATTTGAAATTTCTTGGTCAAAGTTTATAATCTATTGACCATAATGGTGGGGTTCTTTAGACACTAAACTTGGGTGTCAAAATATGACACCAAGCCATTTGGTGGCCAACAGTGTCATATTTTTATAATACTAACTCCCTGTCCCACAAAGAACATCATCTTACATTACCTTCTTTAGTGTATCATCTGATATTAATTGTACAGCAATATTTAAATAAGTTTGATTGAAAATAACTTCGGTCAAACAAAATAAAATGAAACATGGCAATGAAAAAAGGGAAGAGGGAGTGTTAGTAATAGTTTCCGACTTTTCTAATAAGGACTTACAATTCCTAGTTATGTAATGGTAGGACTACTATATTAAAAGGACTGTGCCTATTTATAGTGAGTTCTTTAATAAAAAGACCATCACTGAGCAATGTGAGAATTTTCAATAGTCAAAAACTCTCTTGGTTTCCCCTCTCGATCGTGTTCAGGGACTAGACCCATTTGTTTGTGGGCATGCACTATACACTACTAAAGGCAAAAGAGGTTGAATGGGTCGGGTGCAAGCCGAACCGGGGTGCCATCTCTTTTAATATTTGTTGCTTTAGTTGAGTCTTAGTACTATTTTATTTATGGTTGGTTCTTAATTCCATATCTGATTTGTATTGGGATTTCTTCCGAAAGATGCAAACTAGCAATAATAATTGTTATCCTCTATCCAAATTAACTCTTCAATTGTTACAGGCTTTTGAACCCTACGGTTTCCTTCTTCATACCCACGAGCGACAAAGAGGACACTCATGTTATCCCTTTTGATTCGTTTTCACATGGCCCCAACTTAGGTTCACTACCCAAGCCCTTAACACATCATTAAGAAATACTCCCTTCATCCCATATCTTTCTTCTCACATTCCCTTTTGGTCCATCCCATATCTTTCTTCTCATTTCTATATATTGCAATAAATAGAGTCTAAAACTCATTTTCCCTTAAACATTACGCTTATTTACCCTGTTTTCATTTTAAAGCTTAATTGCTGCCACAACCCCCCACTAGTACGTCCTTCTCCAATTACAAGCAGGCAGCGGCAATGCTTCAACGGCGAAAGGGCGGCAGCGTTTTGGAGGAGTGATGCAAGGGCAGGGACAAAGGGGTAACTGGCAGCAATTTCAATTTTCAATTTCATTTTGATATGGTTTCATGACCAAGAGTTTTGATCCGACGAAAGGGTTTTAATTTGGTTTAACAACTAGGGGTGTTCAGCTGACTACGGTTTTGATTTTGAAGGAGCAGCAGGCAAAAGTGTTTTGAACTTTTGAATTTGGTTTCAATTTTGATTTTTACAAGATCCAGGCAGTGGTATAACTTCCCGATCAGGTGGCCATCCTTCATCCTCTAAAAACCTTTCACGACCAGGCGGCGGCAATGCTTTCACGTGACGGCAAAGTTTCCGGATCGTGGCGGAGCGGGTGTTGGATTGAAACAAACAAGGACAGGAGAGGAGTGGGCGTGAGAGAGAAGACTAAGAGACTGAAGGGAAACTTTGGAAAGTCAAAAGTTCAAAACAAATGTATCTTAAATGAAACATCGTGCCAAGTTAAAAACAGGAAGAAACATATGGGACGGAGGGAGTAGTGTGTTCCTTTTTATGCAAAAAGAGTTATTTTAGCAAAAGAACCTAATTTTCATTATATTGAATGTTTTTATTAAAAAAAGGGGTTCAAACAAGTTGAGTGTGTTACATTTAATTAAACTAACAAGTAAATTATTCCTTCCATCCCAAATTAAAAGTACACCTTAACTGGACAGAGAGTTTGATGAAAGTGTTCAAAAGTGAGATGTGTGCGATTGGAATTGATTTTAAAGAGAGAAATAATGAATAAATGATGGCCACAAATTCATTTCCGAAGGAAATAGACTAACTTTGGAGTAGACAAAAAATGTTGTTTATTTAGGAATAGAGGATGTAAAAAATATAGTTATATGTCGTATAATACATGGCCAAAGTTAAGTTATACCTTACCAAAATTTTGAAATTGTACATTTGCGAAACAAGTCTTTTTATCGCACGGAGGGAGTAACAAATTACATTCAGATGTTGCATATTGCTTCTTAATTCTTATAGCCTAGGCAACAAGGTGATTAGTTATCACTGCACCTTGCATAGTTGTCATGGCAGCCTTGTGTATAACAAGATCTAGAAGGCCACTCTTGCTCTAATACATGGAAGAGTGTAATATAAAATTCAAAATAATTTAGTAAGGTGGAAACATGATGATAGCCAAGAATCCAAATTGAAAATTTATTTGAGATGGTGGATGTTGTGGTGACATGAGTGACGATGACCTCCAAGAAATTTTGAAATGAAGTCACAACATGCAATGTCAGCATCAATGATCAAACTACCGTAGATCACTTCATCACTAACCATTAAAACAAATTATGAGAACAGACCAATCAAGTCTTACAAGAGGGGTCTATGAGGGTCGGTGTAAGCAGACCTTACTCCTGCCTACAAAGCGTAGAGAGGGTCAAGATGCTATTTCTGAAAAAACCTAATTCAACAGGTTAATTGTGCCATTTAATAATTTCACATGTACATTTCAATTGAGGGACATGGAGGCCTAAGAGGCAGTAAGTTACCTTTAGGCAGATGTCAGTAGTTTGAGTATGAAATAGTGGGACTTATTCTACACAAAATATCTAAGAACTTACTCAACACACTTATATATTATAAGAAATGTTTGATCGAGTAATTGTCAGATAATGCAATTTTTCCTTGGGTCTTCTATCGCACTACATTGGACAATGGCTCCACTTGTTTTAGTAAATGTTTAACATTTAGATCCATAAGTCTGTGTAGGGGTAAGGGGTGCATACACACACCCTCTCCAGACCCCATTTATGTGTGGGACACCGCATAGCACAATGGATCCTCAAGTGTGTGCGGGTTTGTTTGTTGTTTTTGTTTTATTAGAACCATACGCGTATGCAATGAACAAGCTTGTAATACTGATTTCTTCAATCCTCATTCAG